TTAACAGATCCAGAGACAGGGAAAGCATTCCTGAGCCGGGAAGAGTACACGGCTCCTTCCACCCTGCAAATCGCAGCTTTTATCCCCAAAATCCCGGCCAACATTAACACGCAGCTCCAATCACCCGAGCCTGAACTATCCGAGCAGCAGCACAAGGAACAAACAACCCGACTTCGTTTTGCCTGGAGGCTGAGCCAGGCTCAAATTCAGGCTCCCAAACCTGCTTGGCTCAGCAAGAATCACTTGATGGGACGGGGAAGAAAACCCGGCCGTGTGGAAATAAAGGAATAACATCGTGAAAATGAGGGGCGGGGGGGTTGAGCTGTGCTTCCATCATCGACCCCCCAAAACAGGACGGGCACAGCCCCTCTCTCTCCCCACCCGCAGCAATCCCCGTCTGGGAGCCCTTTAAATGGTTTCAAATGTTAATTCCTCGTCGTGGCAGTAAAAGCTATTTTTAATGCCACGTGAAAGCGGTTTTTTTGCACGAATTATGGATTGATTCCCAAGCCCGGGCAGTGCTGGGTGTGTGTTGGGGAGCAGAAAACAGGGGGACATCATCAGTGAGATCCATCCGGCTGCCACGGGGGTACCCAGCGCTTAAACCCGGTCTTAAGAGTAGGGCTGAGGCTAAAACAGTGCATAAAAGCCAACCCAAAACACTGCGCCTTAAGTAAAAGCTTTAATGTATCTTATTCTCAGTTAAAATCAGCTTTTTCTCAGGTTTCCCCGCATGTTTTCTTTGTACTTGAGGTTTCATTTCCCAAACACGGGGGTGAGGATCGGGGAAGCTGAGACAGAAAGGTCTCACTTGTGAATGGAAGTGGAAAAGAAAAAAAAAAAAGATTGTAAAGTAATAAAGGCGAGAAGCTGCGAATGCCCCGGGAAAACAAGGGCCGCTCTCAGGCGGCAGCGCTGAAACCGAGTCCATCAGGAGGAGAGATTAGCGGTGCCAATGAATAAAGATAATGTCCCGGAGCAGGTCCGTGCATCGCCATCCCACTCCGGCCGGATTCCTTTGTCTCTTCCCACCTTTGCGCTTCCCGAAGGCGCCTGTGAAAAGCCGGCCCTGGGAGGGGACCCAAGCGCGGTGCCAAAACTCAGCCTGGTGACTCCGGAGGAGCCGGTTTTATTCAGCAGCTCGCGCTATAGAGCGGCTTGATGTGTCTGTACAATCACAACACACACAAAAACCCCCTCAAGGCACCTCCTTAGCTCCACTTTTCAGCTGCCAATAAGGCTCCCGGCAAAAGTCAAAAGAGCAGCGCGGCAGCCGCGTCCTTCTCCTGTCGCTCAAAGGCGTCGGGGTTGCGAGGTTCCGAGATAACAAAGTCTGGCTCAAGAAATCCTGGATGCCTTTCAAGAGCGTTATTAGCTGCTGTGAATGGGGTCGGGGAAGGGGAGGGGGCAAACCCCACATGCCGGGGAGCGGCTCTCTGCTTCCCCTCCACCTTCCCGGAGCTGCTCCCGAGCTGGGACACCTCAGCAGAAGAACAGAGGGATGGAGGAACCCCCACGGAGAGTTCTTCCCCCCTCAATCCAACTTTCATGTTGGATGGGACATGAAAACGACAGTGAAAAGTTAAATTTGGCCTCCGAGAAGTGTCGGAGCTCTGGGCTGGCTCTGCGGGGTCAGAGGATGCTCCCTGGGGATTCCAGCTCCTCCTCGAGTCCCTCGGCCTGCAGGGCTCCAGCCTGGCCAACCACCAGACATCCCATAGTAGGTTTTAATACTTCTGGTCCAAACTGTATGAAAATCGGGAATTCTTTACAATTCCTATAAATTCGGTGTGTGCAGCTTCCCGGGCTCAGGATGTGCGGGCTGGAGGGAGCCTTGGCCCAGCAGCATTCCTGCCTAAATCTTCCTTTGGCTCTTGGAAAAAGCAGGAAGACAGGATGGGAACTGGGGACAGGGATCCCAGGTCACGCAAGAAAACACGAGCCAGAGGAAAAGCCGATTCACGTTGAGCCGATGTTGCCGCAAAGTTTTGGCAGATGGGGACGAGAAGACTTCTTTGGATGAGCTGCGTCAGGCTCAGAGCTTTCCACAGGAATTCCCTCAAAGCTGAATTGCCCTGAACTCCTTTTCCTTCAGCCCAGGCCCCTCTCCCAGCACTGCCATGCTCCCCGAAGCTGCTGTTCCCCCGTCTCTGTGCCAAACTTGGTGCGAGGCAGCCGGAACCTCTGCGTGAGAACCAAACCAGCTCTGGCATCCAAAAAGGGAACAATCCCATGCAAAGATTCTGCTACGCCCCCAAAACGTCCCCAGTGGAGCAGAGCAGTGGCACTGGAGAGCCCCAGCCCCGCCAGACAAGGTGTGAACATGTCCCAAATGTCACAGGTGAGCCCAAACCTGCTCCCCTCACACCGAGGGGGTTCCAGCCCTTTAAACCCCTTCACCCCACAAATGTTGTTCTCCTCAATCCCCACACCGTCACAGATGCTCCAAGTTTTGCAACGGATTTTTGAATATCACCCCAAACTGCTTGGATTTAATTCAGTTTTTAACATTTGTCCTCACCTACATTCCCACAAAACACACACAGAGAGTCCCAGGCTCCCAAAGAGGGCCCCCCACACCCCAAACTGGCCGCAGACACGCCAGCATCGCCTCTTCTTTTTATTTAGGTTTTATTTAGGTTTCCTTCAAGCAGCACTGAGTGCCAAAAAATATTAAAATCGTGTTTTTCTTGAGGAGAAAACATCCCATCATGCTTGGATTAGCCATTAAATCATTTAGGCTGCAGCCTCGAAAAGGTGTTTAACCTTCTTAGAATCAGCTAAAACTCAAGGAATTCTGGAGGAGATGCTTTTGCAGAACATTTTCTTTTCACTACTACTCCAAAAAAGAAAAAAAAAAACACAAGGGGGGCTTTGAGCCATTTCAAATTCAAATTAAATAAAACAATCCAGTAAGAATAAATTATTTCAGTCAGTAACTTATAACAAACTACTCATCACCCACGAGGAGATGCTCCTGCCAGAGCAGGGAAATCACTACAGGACAGAGCTACTAAGAAAGAACAAAATAATTCTGGAGTGATATTTCCAAGGGAATTCTTTTTCCACATTTACTCAAGACAAGCAACAACCTACAGGTGCCTTCGGGCCAAATATCTTGGCGTGAGAAGGGGTTGGTGTAATTTCGGTTTCCTAGCAAGTTCAAATATTTTAAAAATGTTTACACCACTTTTGAGATATCCATAGGAAAAACCTGATTTTCTGTCCAACTTCTCTCTCCCTCCACTCCAGCACATCCCAGCTTTAAGCATTTAGCTCCGTCTGGCTTCCCGGGGATAAAATCCCCTGGTACTGCGAGGTCTTGTGAGAAGACAAAACAAGAGGCCGAGAGGAGAGGAAGCGAAGGGAAATGTGTGTGTGTGTGATTAAAACCACACTTTACTCAGAGTTAAAGCAAAACATCTCCTGATTTTTGCCTCGCCCCAAAGGATGCGGATTCTCCCCAGCCCAGCGGCCGAAAACCTTCCCCGCTCCATTTCTCCAAATTTACCACAACCACATGCGGGATCATCTCAAAACTGGTGCCAGGCCAGGCTCCCTGAGACTAAAAACTCACAGCAGAGCCATCCAAACTAAGATTTATTTCTCCTTCTCTCTGCGGTCCGTCCTGCCAGCGCCTCGCCGGGCTCCGCCGAGCGATATGAAAGCGTTCGATCTTCCCCGCTTTAATTATGTGCTCGCAGTCATTAAACTCCCATTCTGCCAAGAGAGAGCAGTCCTCACCCCAAAAAGATTAGTGATCATCATTATTGTTGCTCGAGCAGCGCGGAGCCGAACGGAGCTGAGGAATGAGCTCATAAATCTCGGGGATATTAATGCAGCCATAAAAATAAGCGCCGCTACTTACTGGGTTTTGAAGGTGTGTTAAGTCGTAACTTTACAGCCCAGATGTGGGCTCAGAAAGCTGAAACTCTGCGGATAAAATTACCACTAAAATTACTCTTTCCATTAAACACGCTGATTTTTCACAGGCTGTTACTTGGGCGAGGATGGGGAAGCTGCAACCTCCCCCAAAACATGGAGAGCGCGTAAGAAATCCGGTATTCCCGCGGGGCTGGGGCAGAAGGGGATGGAGAGGCAGGAAGGACAGGGAGAGCTACTCCTTTTATTATTTACAGATGTTTCCCCGAGAACACCACGGCGCTTTCATACATCGACACATTTGGATTGCCTTCAAAATAACGGAGCAGATTCCATCCCCGGCTTCAAGGGACTTATCGCTCCCGACTCCGCTTGGCCCAGCCGCTCTGGAGCTGGCCAGGAGACGCGAGTTTAATACACTCCACATGCACGGTAGCTGCTCTTCCGAATGCTTTATCGCCTGAAGAGTTCAATCCCATCAAAAAACAAACTCCCTTGGATCGCTCCAGCTCTGCCCTTTGCCACAAACCCGCCGAGGATCCCACGGATTCACCCCTCGCCCACTTCCTGATCCAAGCCAGGATCAAGCCCGAGGTCCTCTCTCATTTCTTGTTTTTTTTTTTTTTATAAACCACACGAATAAAACAATTCCTAAAGGAACCCGGTGGGGAAACGGGGGCACGGCTGGGGATAAAGCGCTAAAGGTTAAAATCGCAAAGCCTGGGGAGTTGAACGAGCACATTTTTGCTGCCGGTTTCGTCGCTGGCCGGGTGGGATGCGGGATGGGAGGCGCGGGGACAGAGAGGAAAACGGCGACACGGGGACAAGGGGACAGGGGGACAGGGGGACAAGGGGACAGGGGGACAAGGGGACCGCTTCTCACACTCGCAGCGCTCCCGACTTCAGCGGCAGCCCCGCAAAAGCAGCCTCCAGCCCCTTCCCCAACCCCTGCGAGGGTCGGAGCTGCCGCCCCCCGCTCGTCCCGCCCGGGATCCGCATCCTCCCCTCGGACCGCATTTCTCTCCCGGGACCCTCCTGTTGCGGAGCCGCCGCACCCCTGCCGGGGCTGCAATTAACACAGCTCTGCGCTAATTCCCGACCCCCCCCGGCGACCTTACCTGTACCAGCGCAGCCCCTTCTCGTAGCACCTGTCGAAGAAATGGGGTTCGGCGCCCACCGCCCGCACCCCGGGGTGCGCCCGCAGGAACTCGAGCAGCGCCCGCGTCCCGCCCTTCTTCACGCCCACGATGATGGCCTGGGGGAAGCGGCGGCTGCCGCCCCCCGAGCCCCCCGAGCCCCCCGAGCCCCCCGCCGCTTCCCCCGGCCCCGCGGGCAGCGCTGCGGGCGGCGGCAGCAGCAGCGCGGGCGGCAGCGGCTCGCAGGGCCCGGGCAGGCAGGAGAAGAAGTAGGTGAAGAAGAGGATCATGGTGAGGAGCAGCGAGGCGCGGCGGCCCCCGGCGGGTCCCAGCAGCCGCCCGCTACATCCCATCGGGGGCCGCGCATCCCGCACCGCCACCGCCGCGCCCCCCGGCCCGGCCCCGGGTCCCCCTCCCCGAGCTCCCCCCGGCCCGGCCGCGCCGCCCCCACGCCCACCCGCGGGGCGGGGGAGGGCGAGGACACGCGCGTGGGGCGGTGACGCCCCGAGGAGGGGAAGGGAAGGGAGGGGAGGGATGGGGAAGGAGGGGATTGGGAGCGGGGAAGGGGCGCGGCACACGCGGGGATGTCACCCCCCACGCGTGGCTGTCACCCGCACGGGGCAGCCCCTTCCCAGGTGGGTGGGCACAGGTTTGCACACATTTCCCTCTGTTCTCACGCCTTCTCCCTGTTTTTTTCCCTTCCTCTCCCCCCCATTTCCTATTGTTTTCCCATGTTACCCCACACTTCCCCATGTTACTCCGTGTTTTCGCTTTTTCCCACATTTCCCCCTATTTTCCCATGTTTTTCCGTATTTTTGCCACGCTTCCCCACACTTCCCCGTGTTTTCACACGCTTCCCACATTTCCCTGTGTTTTCACACGTTTTCCCTTAATTTCCCGCATTTCTCCATAATTCACCACATTTTCCCATCAATTTTGCTCCTTTCATATATTCCCCCCTCTTCTCACCATTCCTGGGGCTCCAATGGGTGTTTTTGGAAAGGGTCTCACTGGGAAGGCTCCGGCAGCAGAGCAGGATCCCAGGCTGGTGTCTTAATTAACCTGTTCATGTAATTAAATATCTTTAGAATTAGAACCCCCAAGTTTTCCAAGAGCTGGAGAATGAGGATGAGGATCCACAGCCTGGGATGGGGAGGGTGGAGCGGTGCTGGATTGGGGTCAGTGATGATCCTGTGGGGCTACAGTGGGACTTGGACAATGGCAGCGTCAGAGGGGGACACAGGGACAGGGCTGTGGGGTGACAAACCTGTGGGGTGACAAACCTGTGGGGTGACAAACCTGTGGGGTGACACAGGGACAGGGCTGTGGGGTGACAGGGTGACAAAGCTGCAGGGTGACCCAGTGCCAGGATGGCAGGGTGACAGGGCTGCAGGGTGACACTGTGATACAGCTGCAGGGTATGATGTGATACGGTTGCAGAGCTGCAGGGTGACACGGTGACAGTGACAGGACTGCAGGGTGACAGCATGATGTGGATGCAGGGTGACACAGTGACATGGTGACAACGCTGCAGGGTGACAGGGCTGCAGGGTGACACGATGACAGACAGGGCTGCAGGGTGATACGGTGCTGAGGCTGTAGGGTGACCTGGTGACAGGGTGACCTGGTGACAGGGTGACAAGGATGCAGAGCGACAGGGTGACCAGTGACAGGGTGGCAGGGCTGCAGGGTGACAGGACTTCAGGGTGGGTGACACAACAACAAGGCTGCAGGGTGACACGGTGACAGGGTGACACAGTGACAGACAGGGATGCAGGGTGACAGGGTGGCCCAGTGACAGGGTGACAAGGCTGTAGGGTGGGTGACACAGTGACAGGGCTGCAGGGTGGGTGACACAGTGACAGGGTGACACGGTGACAGGGCTGCAGGGTGGGTGACACAGTGACAGGG